AAAAATGGAAAAACAAACTTGTAAAAACTATTTTTTTTTTTGTAAAAACAGAAAAAAATCGTTTTTTAACAAAATATCTTTTTTTTTAAAAAACTGAAAAAATTATTTTCAACAAAATATTTTCGTTTTTGAAAAATATTATTTTTATTTTTTTAATTTTTTAAAAGAATTTTATTTTGTAAAAACTGGAAAAACAAATTTGTAAAAACATTTTTTTTTTGAAAAAACTGAAAAAAAATCGTTTTTGGCAAAATATTTTTGTTTTTTAAAAACTGAATAAAATTATTTTCAACAAAATATTTTCGTTTTGAAAATATTATTTTTATTTTTTCAGTTTTTTAAAAGAATTTTATTTTGTAAAAACTGGAAAAACAAATTTGTAAAAACTATTTTTTTTTGTAAAAACAGAAAAAAATCGTTTTTGAGCAGATATTGACACGTGGCGCGCGTGTACTACACACCCCACCACAAGACTGACTAAGTGTTACCAATGGGGTATTAAATTCACCCCAAACAAGAATAGGGGGGACATAGGTCGCCCGTAAAGTTAAGGTGTGTAAATAATTTTTCCGGACAAGTTTGACAGGTAATTTATGTATTATCTCAAAAAAAAAAAATATGTATGTATGTATGTATGTATGTATGTAATAATAAAATTTAAATAGCTACTTCTATAATCGGTTTGGTTCAAGGTTTTTTGGTTATTTTTTATTAAAACCAAAACTAAATCGGTATTTAAAATTCAATACGAAAACCAAACCAAACCTAAAAAGTCTCGAGTTTTTTGATCGATTTTGTTCAATTTTTCGGACTTTTACGAACACTCTAGTTGTTGTATAGTATCAAGTATAATTTTTCAGTAAAGGAATTAGCATTGATTAGTGAGTATTCTTAAAGCTCATTTCTTTAAAGTGTTATATGAGACCTGAGAGTTATATGCAGTAATAAATAGAAAGTTGCAAATGCTTTATTAAGAAATTACAACAATAATTGAGACGAAGAATTAAGAGTTCAATGAAATTTCTTTTGTTTTATAATAAAGGGCTTTTATTTAAACAAAACTATTAGTTAAAAGTCATTACAAAGAGGAGACTAGTGTAGGCAAGAAAGTACCCAACCCATCTAGTTCAAAAACATAAATAACAAAAGTGGAAGAATCTATCTATCTATCTATATATATATATATATATAAAGTTGGGACTTAGGCAAGGTGATGTGGCAATCTCTAGAACAAGGAAACCTCTTTATCTTTTTTCTCCCTTTTTTGCCATTTTCCCCGTATATATTCCTTTGTATGTGCTAATTAAAAAAAATCGAAAAGTCACGTCTCATGAATAGCCTTGATTAATGATTACACTTACGCCTTTTCCTCTTCTTTTGTTCTTTAATAAGCCTCTTCGTCTTATTTTGTTCTTTAATATAATAAGTTACGTCTTTAATTTCCTTTGAAAAAAGAGTAACGCTATTTCTTCTTCTTTCAGCCTATTTTATTTGAATGGAACTACAGAAGCAAATGTACTCCAATTCTTACCACCATTTTACTGCTGAAGGCCGCAATATGAAAGAGAGGGTTTGTGCTTTCCCAGTTCTCTTGGTTGTCAAGTGAAAAAATATGATAAATCTCTAAAATTGCAGTGAGTACAAAAGATTCCCCATTTTTCATCTATGCTAATTGTTTGTTTGGTCACAGATGTGTAGTATTGGAATTGGCTAGAAAAAGTTCAGTATCCCTCTTACACTTTGATGCAAAACTATCAACAAATGATTTGCTTATATCAAGGAACTTCAATTTTGTTGCTCCAAATTCATCTCTAGGTAATTTTGCCCTTTTCCTTATTTTTCCTTTATGTGCTTGAAAATGCATCAACAATCAATGTCTTTTTATCTTTTTAATTAACCTCTCTGTTCCTCTTCCAAGAGTTATGCCTTTTAATCTCCACAGTAGGTATACCTCTTTCATAATTATAGTGGCTTTAGTCATTTTAAGATTAGGATTATTCTTATAGTGTGTCTATTTTGCTTTTTGCTGCTGTTAATCAGAAGGTATGCTTCATTCCGCACTGTAACTTTTTGTTATTTTAATTTTGTTTGAGATTCATGTGCTGATATTCAACATGTTCAATTGGGAAAGACTAATTTTTTTTACAGGTTTAAAATCATTATTTTGGTCATTAGTGAGACTATGACTATTGCTGTAGTGTGCGTTTATATTTTCCGTTTATTTTGTTAATCGGCAGGTAATTTTGATTTTTCCCCTTAAATTTCTTTACTTTGTGCTTTTGGATAATTCTATTTGGGTTTTATTTTCTTTAATTTTTGTATCGAACTGATGTTCTCGAGGTTAGCAGATACGTGCTATGTTATTCCCCATTTTCTTCATATCTTTTTTCTTACTGTTTAGTCAGTCTATGATATTTATTCTTATTAGCATGTTACTTCTACTTTTTCTACATTTATATAGAAAAATTTCATTTCCTTGATAGAAAAGATTAAAATAAATATAGAATTAACTTCTATACCTTTATTTTACTTATCTAGGTCAACTTTCCAATTTTCATTTTTATTTCACTAAATATATAATTTTTGTATATGTAAGACATTTTTCCGTGTATGTATGTATGTGTGTGTATGTATGTATCTATGTATGTATAGAGAGATATATATTTATAGTTTTCCTTTTTTTTAATTAATTGTATTTTAAAAAGGTCATCATCTATGGCACCTCTTCGGAAGCATTATGCCTTTTCAAGTCCATAACTTCAACATCGTTTGTTCTTTTCGGACTCTCTTTTTCAAGGTTTTTTCTAACACTTTCTTTTAACTTTTTCCAATATATATTATGGGTGAGCAATGAAAAGTTTAAATTATAAGAAGCAAAATATTTGGAAAATTACCAGCGAATTGGGAAAAGAAGATTGAAGGGGATATGTAAGTAGGCATGAAGATGGAAGTATAGTTTATACGTAAGTTTTATAGAGTAACGGTAGGAGGGAGGGAGTAAAAGGGATTAAATAAGCAGTAGGAGAGAGGTAAAGGATTGTTAGATTGTAAAGAAAGAAAATACTGAAAATCAAATAAATTACATACAACAAACAACGGAGTAAGTATTATTTTAGTGGGCAGAAGCCAGACCAGTGTTGCCACTTTTTTCCTTTGTATTTAGTCTCTTTAATTTTTATTCTTTCATGTTTTTTTTATTTGAATAATAGAAAATTTTAGAAAAATAATATTTTATACTGTTTGATTAACGAAAGAAATCAAATATTTATATTTAAAATATACTCGACTAAGAGATTGTGTATTAAAATCACATACACATTATATCAAAAAATAAAAAACTTCATATGTTTTTCCATTTTAAAGAAAAATTGTAATAAGCGAAGAATATTTATAACAATATTTAACATTGCGACTTCACATACACATTAATGCTTTTAGTTTACAGTTGTGGCAATTTTTTTTTTAATCTCATTTGAAATGGAAAAATTTATTTTAAAAAAAGGTTTCTAAATTGAGTAATGCACCGCGCGAAGCGAGGGTTTATTTTCTAGTATATATATAAAGTTGGGAATAAAAAAGATGATGTGGCACATCTCATAAGCCATGAAAGTACCATATCTTTTTTTTGCTTTTTTTTGGCCTTTTTCTCTCATTTGATGTCTACAAAATCTGGAGAAAATTTAATACATCCTATTTATGTTATTCCTTATTATCATTTATTTCTTTTACACCCATGTTTCCTCCTTTATCAAGTCCTTTTCCCACTCCCTTTTTCGCTTCTTTTTTTTCTTCTTTGTTTTTTAATCTTTTCCGTTACATGTTTAGGTCTCCTTAATGACTTTTAATATTCAATCATGTTTCTAATTATACAATCGTTACAATTCTTAATTTCTGTATTCAATTGTGTATTGAATGATATAATAAAGAAGAATAGCAATAAAAGGAGGAGAGAAACAGAAATGGAGGGTGACAAGTGCATAACTGCATCAGAAAAACTCCCAACTGTACAAGTCGGGTGACACTAAATTAGCATGCAACCAAATGTAGATTTCTCATGAGGTTACAGAGCTTTTCCATTCCATATTTTTGAAATTGTATTTTATTCTAGGATATAAAGGAGGAGAGGTTTCAACATGACAAAATAAGGATTTTAACGGAAAAAAAGTGACAAAATCACTGACTCATATTAGCATATGGTTGAGACTATAAGAGCTGGATCGATCTCTGATGAGTTGATATTGATTTTTTTCACAAATAAAAGTAATGAGTCTTTATTTTTTTTGGAGGTGGAATGTGAAGTGTGCTTTACTTTTCACTTTTAACTTTCTAGAACTCTACATATTTTTACGAGATCGAGCAGTGATCAATAGGGTCGAGACCGAGCAGTGATCAATAAGGCCGAGCAGTGATCAATAAGGCCGTGACCGAGCAGTGATCAACAAGGTCGAGCAATGCAGATAGAAGTAACGGCTAGTTTTGCTTTGAAATCTTCAAAGGGAATTTCTACCGAATATTCCCTCTAATTGTACTCTTTTTTAGGGTTTTCTAGGGATATCCCTTATAAATAGGAAGAGAGGGGGCAGACTCTCTCTCTAGAAAATATGTAAACACATCTCTCTAAAGAGAATAGATTATCTGTTATCCCATATCTTCCATCAGATCCAAAAAGGGTTCTAAGATTCTTGTGTTTGTCTATCATTCATCTTTATCATTGAAAGAGGATGATCCGCCTCACTCAATATTGGGTGAATTTTTTCCTTTATTTATATTTTTTGCCATTTAATGTTACTTAATGCATCTTTTTTCATACTATTAAATCTGGCCATAATAATCACTGCCAGCATTTATACTCAACTATATTTTTCTATTCATGTTATTCATCTCAGATCTAGAATTAATTATCCTTAACTAGGATTTACCCTCTATCTTCTTATTTAATTAGTTTAACAAAAAGGTCCCATACTTTTTTTGTTCAAACAGTTTAGCGTCGTCTGTGGGGATTTTATAGTTAAAATTTTAGTTTCTTCTAGATCTAAAATTCAATTCTAGTTCCACTTTCTGTTCATTGTAGCGTCACCCTATTGCCACAAATGCAAACTCGAAAAACTGTAGGCAAAAGCTTCTAAGCATGCCTTTGTGATATTTGTGGCCTAACTTCCTCCCTCTCCTTTGGTCCTTGTGGTGTTTCGTCCTTTCTGATAGGCACAATTCTTTTTCGGCCATCACGTGTTGTGGCTTATTAATGAAAATATGTGGTGAAAATGTTATGACAGCGGGCTATGAAATCAATACTTGATGTTGGTTTCCATCTTTATAAATTCACCGCCACATTATATGTTAACATAGACAACTAGATATTCCTGCCAGATACTCATGATATATGCATCTCCCAGATTTAGGCACCAAAATTTTCCTTATGCTAAGATATATGCTATATTCAGTTTGTGGTGGTATTCTTTAGGAGATGCCATGTTGCCTTCATAACTTCTTTATGATTTAGATGTGGTGGTGATGATAGGCTATAATTACGTATTTTAGTCGCTTATTACACTCTAATTTACTGCACTTTAATTGAGTTTGAGCGCTAATCGCTAGTGTTTTGCACTAAATATGTACTTTATGCCTTGTAGGAGTGATTCCAAACTATGTAGATATTATGGAATGAATTAAAGTGATTTGGAGCTTTGAAGTCTGAGTAAAAGCCCAAGAAATCAAGCCGCGGGATCGTGTTCGGGGATCAATGGATGATAGTTAAGAACGAAACGGAGAATCGAGCGGGCATGCGACACATTGTCTAGTAAAATGCACATAACTTTTTGCTCAGAATTCCGTTTGGGCTCCACAATATATCGTTGGAAAGCGATTTGAAAGGGATACAACTTTCATGTTTTGTATTTTTGCGAATTCCCATTACCGCGCAGCACAGTGCGCCGCAGCGTGCGCTGCGCCTTTGGAATTTCCTGCAGCCTATCAGAATCAGCTCTCTGAACTTCTCCACAAGCACACCGCATGGCGCGTCGCCCTGTGCAGCGTGCCTGTACAAATTTTACAGAGCCATGTCCTATTTCGTGCAGGAAAGGGTGTTTCGTCTGAGCCCGACCCTACTTGGTACAAATACATATAAAAATGCTATTTTGGAGACTTTTGACACAGAGGAGACCTAGGGGAACATACTTTGAAGGAGAATTCACGTGGGGAAAACAAACCACGCTTGGAGGAGGCTTCTAACTAGTTTTTCTTCTCTTCTCTTCCTTTAATCTCATAGTTTATTAGTTCTAGAGTTTTGGGTGCTACATGAACGTTATAGTTTGAAACTTGAATTGTTCTTATTATTTATCATATTGGTTTATTATTCAATCTTGCGCTTAATTATTTGATTGCTTGATCACCAATTGAATACTATCTACGAATCTAGGATTGAACTCGGGAGAGGAAATTCTAGATTGCATATAAGATTGAATAGAGCAAGATCTTAACTCTGAGGGGGGCGTATTTGCGGCTAGGATAGGAATACCAGATGACAGAAAAACTGAACCTGCAACACACCTCAAAATGCTCGTTCAACCACCCGAATTCACCCCGAGGCCCCCGGGACCTCAACCAAAAACACCAACACATCCTAATACCTTATTCAAACTTGTTCCAATCTTTAAAACACATTAAACTAATGCTAAAACCATCAAATCACATCGAATTCAAGCCTAAGTTTCTTAAAAACTTCCGAATTACGCATTCGATCAAAAACCCGACCAAAACACCTCCGAATGACCTGAAATTTTGCACACATATCCAAAATCACCTAACGGAGCTACTGCAACCCTCGGAATTCCATTCCGACCCTCGGATCAAAATCTCACCTATCCACCGGAATTCTCCAAAATGCCAACTTTGCCAATTCAAGCCTAATTCTACTCCGGACCTCCGAAATCACTTCCGATCGCACTCCTAAGTTAAAAATCACCTCCCGGAGCTAACCGAAATTCACATCCGAGCCTTCTAACTAATAAGTCAACGTTCGGTTGGCTTTTCCAAACCAAACCTTCCTTAAAGAGACTAAGTGTCTCATTTCCTATCCAAACTAATTCAATTAAACTCTAACTCACCCGTTGCTGATAATAAAACATGAAAGAGCAATAAATGGGGGAAACGGGGCTGTAATACATGAGACGACGGGTTAGGTCGTCACAATAGAGATATGCAAATCTGTAATTGATAGATGTGATGTATGTCCATTAGCCAAGCATCACAGACTATCTTTTCCTTTAAGTACTAGTAGAGCAAATAAAGTGTTTCAATTACTGCACTTGGATGTATGGGGACCATATGGTACACCAACTTATGATGGAAATAGGTACTTCTTAACAATAGTAGATGATTACTCTCGTGTAACATGGATTTTTCTGCTAAAATTCAAATCAGATGTAATCTTAGTACTTAAAGATTTTCTCAAGATGATAGCAACACAGTTTAATGCAGTAGTCCAGATAATAAGGTCTGATAATGGAGAAGAGTTTGTAAACTTAGGGATGCAAGAGCTTCTTAAATCCTTGGGAATCATACATCAAAGAACCTGTGTCCACACACCCCAACAAAATGGGGTAGCAGAGAGAAAACACAAGCACCTTCTTGAAGTGGCAAGATCATTCAAGTTTCAAGGGCATATTCCTACCAGATTTTGGGGACATTGTATATTAGCTGCAGCCTATGTGATCAATAGGCTACCATCAGTAGCCCTTGAAGGTAAATCTCCTTATGAAGTGTTCTTTAACAAAAAACCTTCTATAAACCATTTGAAGACCTTGGGATGTTTATGCTTTGCTACTGCTTGGCCAAGGGGAGACAAGCTTGGAAGCGGAGCAGTTAAGGCTGTGTTTATGGGGTATTCTAATGTGACCAAGGGTTACATTCTATATGATCCGGAGAAACATCTGTTTTTTGTAAACAGAGATGTCATTTTTAGAAAGGAGGTCTTTCCATTTCAGTTGCAGGAAACAGAGGTAAATCAAACAATAGATCCTTTCCTCTTATATGATGATGACTGTTTACCATCAGCAGGTTCAATACCAGGAGGTCCACCTTTATTGAATCCCTCTCAAGGAAATATATATAAAGCTAATCCAATGACAATGCCAGAGACAGCTCCTATCATTACAGCTCAGGAGAGTTCAACCTTAGAAGAAAATCCTGAACATGAACCTTTGGAACATGCTGATACATCAGCAACCGGCAAATTATAATGAGGACATACAGAACATTGCCAATATGGATGAATCCATAATGCCAACTGATAATCTTGAACAGATGTGGCCATCCACAAGCAACAATGACAATGCAATTCCACTTAGAAGATCTCAAAGAGGAACCAAGGAACCAATATGGATGACAGATTATGTTACTCAAAAGCCATCTACCAACTCAGTTCTATATCCCATTGAAGATGTAATTAGCTATGACAAGCTGTCCACATCTCATCACACTTACCTTAAAGCTTTTTCAGCTTTCACAGAACCTCAAAATTTCCAGCAGGCATCTCAAGATAGTAGATGGGTTGAAGCTATGCAAACAGAAATTCAAGCTCTTCAGGAGAACAACACTTGGAGACTAGTTAAGCTGCCACCAGGGAAGAAACCTATAGGCTGCAAATGGGTGTACAAAGTGAAGCTGAAGGCAGATGGACAGGTAGAGGGGTTCAAAGCTAGACTAGTAGCTAAGGGGTACAACCAAAGAGAGGGGCTAGACTACAATGAGACCTTCTCCCCAGTGGTTAAAATAGCTACTGTGAGAACTGTCTTGTCCATTGCTGCTGTCCATAATTGGTTTATTCATCAGCTCGATGTTTACAATGCTTTCCTTCAGGGAGACCTCACTGATGAGGTCTATATGGAGCTTCCTCAGGGTTTTTCAAGCCAGGGGGAGCAGGGTATGGTTTGTAGACTTGAAAAATCCCTTTATGGCCTCAAACAGGCTAGTAGACAGTGGAACCTCAAGTTGACAGAAGCACTTCTGCATTCTGGCTTTCTTCAGAGCAGCCTAGATCATTCCTTGTTCATCAAACATCAAGGACCAGACATTGTAGTGATTCTTGTTTGTGTAGATGACATGCTAGTGGCAGGCAGCAGTTTGCATCTGATTGAAGCCACCAAAAACTCATTACACCAGGCATTCAAGATCAAAGACTTCTTGGAATGGAGTTCAGTAGATCAAGGAGAGGCATACTAATAAACTAAAGGAAGTATGCTTTAGAGATAATCTCTGAGCTAGGACTTACAGGTGCTAAACCAGCATGGACTCCTCTAGAGCCAAATGTAAAGTTGACAGTCCCAGAGCTTGATAAACTGACAAAAGCTGAGGATGATACTCTACTAGCTGACAGTGGACAATATCAAAGGCTCATTGGAAAGTTACTATATCTGACATTGACAAGGCCAGATATAGCATTCTCAGTACAAACATTGAGTCAATTTCTACAAAGCCCTAAGAAGTCTCATTGGGATGCAGCAATGAGGGTAGTAAGATACATTAAAAGAGAGCCAGGAATGGGGATTTTATTAAGTAGCAGGAGCAGCAATGTGTTAAGTGTGTACTGTGATGCAGACTGGGCTTCTTGTCCCAATAAAAGGAAGTCAGTATCAGGT